AAGAATTTGTGAAAGTTCCCGAGCAATGACCAGAGAAATCTTACGCATTTGAGAACATAACGGTCAACATGGAATTACAAAGGAAAATACTATAAAAAAAAGCTATAAAACATAAACAAAAAATTAACCCTAGTCGTTTCGTTTGTAGAAAATAACCGATTCCGAGTGCATCAAGTAACCACACGTCGACGCCCAATTTCCGGATGCAAGTAAAAAATATTTGATAACAACAGAACATTTTCAGAATCATGAGAAAGCCAAACTGTATGGGTTCACGATAAGTGAATTCAGGTGTTCTAGTCTTCCACGTTGCCAAGGTTTAATCAATGGTACTCTACCTCACAACTAGTACTCGCGCAAATCAAACCTGTATATCTGCATAACTAAGAGTACGTTACCATCACCACATGTTCAACTACTGCACATACTATGAAAAGTTCTACTGATTTTACCGGAAAATTACACCACTCGTAAACACATTTCTAGAGTCTAGAGTTTCTAGAGTCGTATAAAATCAGTAAAAGGACAAAGCATATTTTGTAGTAATCATTAGAATGTTTCAAAAGTCAACAATAAAGCCTCTGGATTCTCTTAAGTGACAACGCAAAGACCACAACGAAGAAACCGGCCTAACCTGCAAACATGTAGTTAACTGGAAATTGTCTCGAATTCTAGCGGTCGTCGTAAGAACAGGACAGTCAATATGTTCCTGCATGATCATCGAAAACGAGACAAACTTATGCCGCGGCAAAACATCCATTGCAGCCGACAAAGTACCTCTAGTTAACGACAGGACGAGTGGTGATTTCACTGGTGCACACCCGAGTTACTCGATCAAAGGGACGGAAGAGATCATATGGGCATGAAACACTTTGTAAAAATAAAGCAAAGAAACAGAACTCTCAAATTCTACGGGAGAATCACAGCATGGTGTATGATAAGAACTTACTTTTCTTCCGACAAAACTTCAAACTTCAAAACATCTCAAATTTCAAAAAAAAAACCAAATGGTTGTCAAGGCGACAGTGACCAGAGGTAGGGCACGTAATATTTGACATAAACATCAGTTACTAAGAGCTCCTAAAAATACTGATGATAACAGGAAAGAGCAGAAAGTGACATTTATGCATAATATGCAGATGCAAACTATCTATCACATTCCCAGTCCACTTCAATGTTACCACATAGCATTACCTTTTCATGATATAATCGAAACAGCAACCGGACACTTCTACTTCACTTCACAAAAACATCACTACAGTAAGTTAAGAGATTTGATCTATAAAAAATAAACTGCATACCATAACGAAAAGCCAATTTCATAACATAAAATTCAGTGTGCAAGATAAAATCACTTTACTACAAAAACTCCTCATTAGAAAAAGATTGCTGTTAATTTGAATAAAAAGCATCTTGGCCAGACACTCACCTCAGTATCAATGCTGAATATCTCTTGTACGCCATTGATACCGTCAGACACTAAGCTTGTTCCTACATCTACCATTCGGCCAGGTACAGCCGCTACAACATCAGCAGCAGCCTAGAATCCAGATCACCTAGCAATTTCCGCCGTGAGAAACTTCGATGTAATCAGCCAGATAGAAATAGTAAACACCGTTGTTTAAAAAATTACATGACAAATACCATCATAGACAACACGAAGCGATCAAAACAGATTTGGAAATTATTTGTTTGACTTGTGCGCAATTACTAGAACAGCAGATTTGACTACCGCTCTTTTAACTAATATTAATGAATCCAACTGCTTTGTGCACAATCATTTCTCACAATGTTGTTAACATCAAAGATGAAAACGACTTAACCATGCACAAAAAGCTAAAAAAAAAAACAGCTTTATCAAAACGGTACGGTCAATTTCATTGCAGTGTTTTACTTATTTTAACAACTCTCATCCACATGTAGTGTAGGAACACCTTATCGATGTTAAATGAGCTGTCCTCTCATTTAAACTTTATGACTACCCGGTAGAGCCTCCTAAGGACCTCATGTCAGCAAGCAGTCACTGTTGTGACCAAGAGGAAGCTCTACTAACTAGAGTTAAAAAATAGTAATAGAAAATCTAGTGAGCTGCAGTCCATCCTATGTTATGGAATACCCTTCCGTTGGGGTGGGGGATTAAGGACTATGTTTGGAAGTAGTGATATTTATGGAACAGTTTAGGTTCAAACTGTAAATGCATTCACCTTGGCTTGACAAGCGGCGGCATTTGCAGCTTCACCCATCACTTTCACACCAGTTTCTAATCCCGTTTGCAGTGAGTCTAAACAGAAAATTAAAAAATAAACAGGATCTACGACATTTTAGCTGAATGTTTTCTCATTTTCTCACTAAAACATATGAAGCCACTAAAGGCACAATTTTTACGCTCGTAATACTCATTTAACACATTACGGACAATATGCATTGCATTCAATTCAATCATACGCGCCGCGAGTTCACTGATCTGACTAGTCTAATCTGACTAGCAGCTAACTGTGCTTTCAATTTTAGTCACTGCCGTGAATCAGAGTGATCGGATGAAACGTGTAAGTGTAGAAAAATATAGGAATGGGCGCAACATAAGTTGCAGAACACCGCCAATCGCTGACAGAAATATGTTTGTATGAAACTACAGCAACATATAGTAAATAAAAGCAAACATAAAAAGTTTCTTCTACAATCCTGTTATATTCCCAACACCTAGGGCCCTGTAGTTATAGCAAAATTATCGTTTATTAAAACCAGTATGTGTATGAAAGCTAACAATTGGGCGTTGTCCCAAACGGGAAATCCGCTAAACACGGCGCGTCGCGAATGTGTTAATTCATTCCCGATTCCCAATGTATTCACTCTAATTCACAAGTGTGTCAAAGTAGGTGTAATTCTGGAAAGAAAATCTCTTGTGAACAACAAGAAATGTCATGCTGAGATTTAGATAATCAGTTTATCCATGAGCATATTCGTTGCACTTGACAGAGTTTCATCATTTTAGCATGACTGTTTACTTTCTCGCCACTAGTGACCTATATGGAAGTTGTTTTGAAGTTGCCGGGGTAGCCAATATGACCTTCACAGATTTCATACTCTTTCCCGTGGTTTATTTTAACATAAAGAACTATCTTTCTATAATATGTGCAATCAATCGATAGCTCATAGAACATAAAATAGATGTTGCGTTGAGCGATAGTCGTGAGAAGCTATATTCTGCACTTATAAATTTACAAAAAACCGTTTTCCAGACGAGTTCAATGACCAGAAATGCGAGTGGTAATCGACAATTACCACAATTATACTCATTACAGTGAGAAAACTGTATTGTTTGGTTATATTATGTCGGACAGCAAGTATTGCAAGGATTAGAAAAAAAAGGGACTGAGTGATCGACGAAGTGACATCAAGAATGTGTAACAAAATAATAACTATACAGTGGCCTGTCCTCAAGTGTGGTCTAGCTTATCTCAAAAGTTTGAACCTTGTCGTGATGCTGTTTCCAAGATGTCTTCGGTGGACAGGTCTTGCCACTGATCCAATTGTCGACAACGAACCTTCAATAATTTGACACATATCTCAATTCATACTCGATAGCACCATCCATTTTCCACCAAACATATGCCCCAGCCAGAAAATACTTCGAATGAAGACCCCAGCCATGTAATGCTAACATATCGCTGGTCACACTAAACCATGGCCATCTTTACTTGATACATGAATGGCCCGTCCTCACAAGTTGTGCGGACCTCAGCATAATCTCCACTTTTCGGAGATTTGCTGGTTAAGCCATTGTAGGCCGGGCCAAAGTCTGCCCCAGATCTTCACCACCACAGGCACTCGCAGCCCTCGTGGATCAGAGGGAGATTTGCCACCATGCAACTTTGATACCTGAACGGTGGTGGATCCTGGTATTGGCTTACTCTTAGCTAGGTTTCCTGAGAGAAACGCCGCACTCCTCACCTTGGAAGGCTCTGCCAGGGGGACGAATCCTCCGCTGTACTTCGGAGTCCGACACCCAGAAGCACCTAGCTACGATGAGGCGGTAAACTGTTGGGAGGATGGCCATCTTTACCAAACATAACTTCTCTTTTAGTTCACCGTGAAAGAACTTGACTGTGCGTCAAAAGTCTTCACTCGCCACGCTGGTACTGCAGAGTGGCCAAGTTTGTATTGCAGGACGTAAAGAGTAAATTGTCATTCGAGAAGCATCGTGAGCACTCAGCATTTATTGAAAGTAGAAGTATGGAGTAAGAATGAGAATCTACATAAGTAGACTTTGAAGACAAGAACGCCATAAAAGGAAAATGCATGCGTTGGTTACATGGTTTCATCAAACATTCCTTTTCTTCCCATGACCGACTTTCATTCCTTTTCTTTGCAATTTTCATAAACATAAATTCAGTAAGAGGTTTAGAAAAGGTTAAAATTTCTAACGCAAAAGCTACCATCGCAAATCACACACCCTAACGGCTCAGTTGGAAATATCGCATGCTTCACTGCATCTTCACTAGAAAATGGAACCAAAAAAAGAGCAATTTCTATGGTCAAAAAATACCGCTGTAGTATAAAAAACCTATTTCTTTTGTGAAACATCAAACGATTTTAACTTCAATGGATAGTATTCGCTGCGAGCTCAGAAATGTTTAACTTTTCATTTGCTGCATATAATTTTTTCATGGCAACGTTTTAAGTGGAACACAACCACAAGACGCTGAGATATGAACAAAACTCAAAACTCCAGGTGAGCTTCAAACCCTCGATTACCCCTTCCGAAGGCTCTCGTGTTATCCACACCACCATCAAAGCCCTGGCTTTGCCCTTCTCTCAGCCTGTTTCTCACCCAAAGAGTACTATTAGCAATCGCCCATAAACGGGAATGAAAGGAAATGAGAAGGAATGAAAGTCAACTTCAACTTAACCGGGTTCAATGCCGATTTCTGCTCCCCATATCATTTCCATTGGCAGATGATTGCCGAAAGTACCCTTAGCTTATCCGTTTAATGCAGCTGTCAGAGGCGCCCTGCACCGCACTTGGAATCAATCCCGTGTCCCAGGATCACCAAGCCCTCCATCCGTCCGGGGTCGGTAAATTGGTACCAGACTTGTCTGGGAGGAGAGCAGCACTGACTCGATACATCGGGAGGTCACCCGTGAGTATAGACCAGATATGCATTCAATTACCTCTAACGATGCCTAACGAAGTCGAATGCATGGCCAATTCGTCTCACTAAAGGGTAATTGCGGATACGAGGCTCGTCTGAGCTTCAAAATCTCACTGTCATTGAGGTTAAAGGTTACGTTGACCTCGGCTGCACTTATACTAGTTAGAATTTAGATAGGTTTCATTATGTGTTGTTCAAGTGGATTAGGAATGCGCATAAGAATATGAGAAACCTCCCAACCTTATACTTTGTTAAAACAAGGCTTACATAACTCTAGCGAGACCTTCACACATCACACGAATTAAAAATGGAAATTTTCGGCAATGCACGTTATTAACTCTTTTATTTACTGCCTTTTTCTTCTTAATGGCAGGGTATGTTGTGAAATATAACTCGTATGAAATGCTGAGATATTTGCAAAACTCCAGACCACAGGTGTATGCAGTGGGGAACGAACACGCGCTGTTGTCCTTACCGGGGAGCAGCGCACTTCACCACTACACCATCCGGATCCATCCGGGACAACAGCGCATGTTCGTTCCCCACTGCATACACCTGTGGTCCGGAGTTTTGCAAATGCACGTTATTTTTCATCCAGTAAATTAGTACTACGCAAGAAAAAACTTGCAAACCTGCAGCGCTTCTTGTATGAGACACAACTCCATGAGCAACTTGTTTTGTACCTTGAGCAACAGTACCTTGGATTGACTTAGCACGAGCACTAAAACACAGTAGACCTTTTGCGATAATGTGAGAAACCAAAAAAAGTGAGAAATTTTGTTGCAATATAAGAGTCTCACTAAACGACATCTCGATAACAGCTGCAACTCACGGTTAAGAAAACTTGTTCTTCTAATGAAATACGATACTTGTAGTAAACACGCAAACGTGTTAGCCAACGTCGCACGTCAGCACATAATACCGAACATTAATAGAAATAATCTTTTTTTAAAATTGAACTTATGCAGGATATTGTTGACAAAATACAACATGGTGAAATTTTCCTAGGAAAAGAAATCGTGGAATTGCTAACCTAAGCGTTCGTCCAAGCTTGCCAAATGAACGTCTCGCAACGTTAGGGGAGAAACGGGAGCCAAATCCGGAGTGCTGACTTTGAGCTGCATCTATGTCAGAATACGATAGTGGTCGTTCTTCCGAATCACGTAGTGACAATGATGACGTCTGAGACAACGACGAATGTTGACGAAAATGTATTTGAGCAATTTCTGCAAGAAAGGGTTGTTATCATGAGTAGCACTTGATAAGCAAAGATTACTTGGAATATTTATACATAATGGTTGAAAAATCCAATTTAGAAGTGGCTGGAGCAGTCATTACCGTTACAAATCTGTACATCAGTTTTCGTAGCAATATTGAGGCTAGCATTATGGCATTATTATTGAGGCGAACCCCTGCGTACACTCAATGTATAACTTCTATAAGGAAAATTCCATTCGTTCTACATCGAAAAAGTGCATTGTCCTTGCTTTTCCCCCGTTTTCTTCCGAACTTAGAGCAGTACCATTCTTTTCCCAGCTTCGTCGAAGTCTCAGACATGCATGATTGATTTTCTCGAAAGGATAATGCACGAGTGAAACGAAGGTTTCAGATGAATTTGCTCACGTGGTGCGGTTTTCGTCCAAAATAGGCGAACACATTTTTAACGCATTGCATCGGTGAACAATTACGGTGAAATAACGTCTTGTCACAATCACTTCTCTGAGGTGGTAGGAGGTCGACAGAACAACTGTATTAGATGAAAGGATAAAGCATTCGGAGTTGATTAATCTCTGAGAAATGCCCCATGCATTCCACTTTATCAAACACCATTTGAAGTGATTTGATACAACATATCTGGTACAAACAATGACTTGTGGTGGCAGACTGCTATATCGCGTGAGTGCTGCTACCCTCCCAGACAAATCTGTTACCAAACTGCCATTTCGAGAAGGACGGAAGGGTCTGATGAGTATGAGGCACGAGATTCAACTAAAGACCACGTGTGTACTGCAAGCCTCCTTTAACCACTGGGTTTTTTTTCATAAGTTTTTGTGTACAATAACGCGTATTCCAGCCAAATTTAGTGGTAAGACCTCGCCTCTACGAATGACAGAGGCTTTGTCATTTAATTCGCGTACGTCAGCTTTCTTACTCTTACTCTTACTCGTTGTTCCTTATAGGACGAACAACTGAAACTAAATTGACCCGCGAATTCAAGAAAGCCATGAAGACCGACGTTCGAGAAAATAGGGAATAAAGAAGCAGTCTCCATAGCAAGAGATCTGACCACCTCTCACGAGTTTCCTCACCAAGCAACTTCGGAGGTGACATGAACAAGAGTGCCGAGGCTTTTTTAAGTGGGGTGAATCGTTGTTGTACACCGCAATTCAACACCAAACAGCACACCAGCTACGATGACTTGGCAAGCCTTTGCAGCGTTTACACAGCCATTCAATGAGACTTAGGCTTGCACCTTAATCAAATTAACAAATTTACATCAACATCCAGAGAACGCCTAGAAAAACGTCTTCTGAATTACGCACGCATCGTTCTAAAAATCATCCTAAAAAGGCTATTACGAAGGACGATGATTAGAAGAGAAAGGAACAAATGGAAGACGCTCTGTGACTCTCACATCTCATTAGAACGTGAAAACACTATCAGAGCAACATAATGACTTTCAACGAAGAATCAGAAACGTATATAATTGAATTCAAGCCATTTCATTCAAAATGTAGAAAAGAATTTTATAACTATAAAATTGCGATTAGATCTATTCACCCTCACGAGTGACGTCTTCACCAATGTAGTTACGGTGGTCGTCGCCAGGCGATTTTAAACTCTGTGACTCCTCGTCGATGGATGGCAACAAAGCTTCGCTAGCGAGCTCCGTTGAATGCTGAAAAAACTATTATCAGAAAACATCAAGGGCAGGTATAACATAGCGTTTAGGTAATCACGAGCACATGTCAGAAATCTCTTTTCGCTTCGGTTACGAGCCACAGGTTTGCTCACTTGACGAATACGAAGAAAATGATGACGTCAGTATGATGTCCTTCATCTTTAATCTTTTTGTCATATGCTAACCACGAGTAGATCGCAGTACTGTACTGGGTGCTGGGTAAATGCAAGCGTCGCTTATCGGGCTTCAGAACAACATTCCATCAAGAAGACGACCTAACAATGGTTGTGATGTGTCAAGCGAGAAATTCATGGGTCGCGCCACAAAAATATGCGAGCTACCATCCTCTACTGAGAGTAATCAATATGTGTCCGATAAATGTGGATTCAAACATCTTTGAAAGGAATAAAGGATTGGTTTGAAAGACACAATATCACCACAATGTGCAATAAAGAGCAAATCTTCTCAATGCTGAGTTTCAATAAGGAAATGTATGCAACACATCTCACAATTGTATGGGATAAAGCAAAGTTGCACAATGAATTTCTAAACAGCTAGCATGCAAAATATTTAGAATGTTAAGTAAAGATACTTACTACTTCGTCGGCTTTCATATCCTCCATATTGCTACGGGCACCGCCTTCGAAAACTTAAAATAGAAGTGGTCCGTATACTCTCAATGCAATGCAAAATATTCACATCAAGAACAACTTCTAAATTTAAAGAGAATATGAAGCAAACCTATACCCTTCTGAATAGGATCCCCAAATTTTGCTTGCAACTGAAATTCAGCATTAGCTGGCACATCTCCCTGCACAAATGATGGCTAGAATAAAAATGAATTGCTTCAAGCTAGCCTATGTTGACGCTATTATGAAAGTAAGAAGTGACAAGAAAAACACTGAAGGACGTGTGGAACAAAAATATTGGAGTAGATATGAATAACCTGTGACAAGTTCGATATGTTTGCGATTGCTACATGATCTGGATCAAAAATATCCTTCTTCTTTTCTGCCTCATCTCCCGTCAGCGCGCTTATGTCCTTGTAAACAGAGACGGAAACGATTTCGTCCATGCTAAAACCAAAGGAATAAGAGGAGAAAGTATTTTTGAGTGTGATTTCCTCCTCAATTTTTTTTGAAAATGTGAAACTAATGGACGGAGCTAGAAAAGTAGTGAGTAGTAGAAAGATAAGGATAAAGCTCTCGGCGTTGATCAATCGCTGAGGGACGCACCATGAATTCGACTTCACTAAGTGTCGCTGGAGGTGAAAAACGCATATGTAGCCTTTAATGACTCATGGTGGCCTACCGATGTACCGCATTTACTGCTGCTATCGTCTCATAGAGGCTTCGTACCAATTTTCCGACCCTAGGGAGATGGAGAGCTTGGTGAGCCTGGGGCGAGGGAACCGATCCAATGCGTATTGCAGGGCGCCTCCGATCACTGCACTACATGCACCATTAGGAAAGTAGTACTAATACCAAATACGAGATGACCAACTGTGGGAGGATTTCAAAAGACGAAAATAAAATAAGTTCATCACTATCGTCCAAAGTTAGATAAATATTCATTAGAATAATATAAATGTAGTTTTGCCACATACTTCGCTACCATCCCGTATATATCCTGTCCATTTTCTTTCACCAACGGGTGACTAACATCTGGATCGAACATTAGACAATTAGGAGTTACGAGAAGAGTGCCTGATACTGTTCCATCAGACTCAGTAACTTGTTTTACCTAAACATAAGATAAGGAAGAAAAAAGGTACAAAAGAATAGAAATTACCCTACTTTAATCTTCAAAAACCGTTGAAGGCAATCAGAATCGGCATCATCAGTGCGAGAAACAGGTACACTTCTCGTTTTCGTTAGAATACGCTGATGTTGTGCTGGAACGGCACCACCGGGTCCCTTGCGAATCCCATCAGCTGCAAAAATCATAATTATTCACTGACCACCAAGGCCAAAGGATCTTAAAATAATCGAGAGATATTCCGTCATTAGCACTTTGTAACAGAAAAGTCTCAGGATATGAGATGCCAAGACAAAACAAACAAAACTAACCAGCATTCTCACTGCCTCCAATTTGATTAACAAGCTTGTGTGACGAGGTAGTCCTGGGTTCACTATCAACGACACGGTCTGTCGAAGGCAATGGCACAAGAATCTTTTGACCTGGGAAAACCTGAAAATATTGAGTCCAGTAAATATGATTATCGAATATGTTGTGATTCCTTGACAGAACAAGTGACTAGAAGATAGTGGCTACGACATACAATGGAAATTCATATAATACAGTGGTTATATTGGAAGACAATTCGACCTTAAACGATAAAGACCTTAAAGCTAAACGTAAATCACTAGCACCTACTTTCTGGGAACTAATGAGCTCGTCTAAGATTGGGGTCCGAAAGTTTTCACTTTGTACGAGCTAACATTGACTGTATTGAAATAACAAAAATATTGAAAATGATGTAAAAATGCTCTGTATAGTACAGAGAATCCGCAACTGAAGCAAACCAGTTAATGTTTCTTTACTTCTTAAGACTGTTCAGCCTATAAGAGGTTGGTGTAACCTTCTCAGCTGAGTTTTCATAGCCTTTTTTCCTTACTGAATTTACAAAAACTTAAACAACATAAAATAACAATGGAAAAAGGTATGAAAGGAAAAGGAACTAAAATAGCACAAAAATAAAACAAGGCATATCGCTTGGCCTGTAGCTGCTTAACTATAGCTCAGCTATAACTTCCTTTTCACAAACAGTGAAAAAGGGATAATCGTGAGATATGCACATCGACAAGCAACAAAAAAAAACTGAAAAATTCCAATTTCCAGGCATTAACATTCTTCGCATCCGTAATGTCTCTACTCTAGAATAAGGCGAACATCGAAGTAAACATGCAAACTAATAGGACCATATAATGACCAAAGGCAAGCATATTTGTTTCGATAGCGCTCCCCCTTCGCTTTCCAATAATATCTGAACACTTTCTTCGAAAGACTCATCGTCATAAATAACGATGAATCGCGCGGCCATCAGTAAAACTTTCATTTCACTGATAATTCCCTGACTGAAGAAAATTTTCATTCTCTAGCGTCTCAAAAGCTATGTTAGTGATTTCCCAGGTTAACATTTGCCTTTTAGTAGCCTAGTTGTTTTCTGGTAATGCTTTACTCCTATATAGGCTTTGAATATCCAAATAAAAATCCACTGTATCGGCAGCCTTTTAACGAAGTGATTTTTGGTGATACACTGAATAAGGTCAGCTTCCTGCATCAACGTATGCATCAGAAACCTGGTCGATGCTGAAGCAGGAGGAAAGACCACTCAGTGTTATTGAGCGCGCAGTCGAAAGAACGATGCTAGGAAATCCCATTCTACACAAGTAATGGAATGGATCCGAAGCTCCGACCTGCGTCAACGATCAAAAGTCAAAGATGCCGTTCTGAACGCCAAACAGTCAAAGATAAGATGGGCCGGACACGTAATGCGAATGAACGACAACCGATGGACAAGGGCCGTTAGTGACTGGATTCCTCTGGATGTTAAATGCACTGCAAGAAGACCACCGACCCAACAGTCAAAGTTTTTTACAAAAAGCCTAGAAGAAAGGTATGATGCTCAATGAATTCCTAGAGCGAGCAGAACCCACTATGCTACGCTGACACGCGACAGGGGAAAATAGAAGACTTACTGGTGTCGGCTGGAGTCACTCGACAATCAACGGAGGAATAGGTGATACAGGTGATACAGACGATACAGTGAATAAGGCAATTACTGAAAGGGTATATGTGAGTGAACTATCGATATTCAAGCTTCTAATTGTTTTACAAGACCGTCAAATGCACCACTGATACAAAATACTATTCGAGTAACTTTCATATACGACGAAAGGGACAAAGGTGTAAACCAATTGGAAAGTAAGATCAAACAACGACGAACTAATTGTGTTCAGCACTAAAGGCATACCTGAGACTTTGTTCACATTTACAGTGTTAATGAGAATCTGAATGAATAACAGAAGGATGAAGGATGAATCCCCTAAGAATTCTCTTACTTGACGACCTCAACTGAGAATGATACGATCTTCCTGTGCTAAAGCTCGCAAACATGGATTTACTAGGGTCAAATAACTATTCACATAAAATTACCTTTAACACTGCAGAGTATTTGAGATATAAATTAGTTACAGAATATTGTGAAATAGAGGGAAATATTCTTCAACAAAAGCTTATCTAATACGATAATATGTGAACCTGTTACAGAATGTTTTGTTAGTGAACGATATTTTCACACATACTTACATGGATATTTTGACGGTCCATGTTCACTGGTTGTGCGGGCACCAGCATAATTTCCACTTTTTTGGAATGTTGCTGGGTTAGCCACTGTGGTTCTCTGGAATGCCGAGGTCAACCTACCCAAAATCTGCCCCAGGTCGTCACTACTACAGGCAGTCAAATCTCACAGTCAGGATGAGGCGGTAAACCGTTGGAAGGAAAGTTCCATATATTGTTAACAATTAATAATTCATCAGATAAAGCCTATAATAGAACTTCAAAAAATGCTCATTTGACTAGGATGTAAACCGAATAACAAAGGTGAATCTAAAATGAATGCTTTACAAAATAAGTAGAGAAATGAAGAGGTGGGAAAGAACTGACCATTCGAGAACTCATTCGGTTCAGTTTCATCAATTCGCCAATAGTGCAGTCATGCGAAGCAGCTATACCTTCTAAGGAATCGACCCCTCTGACTGTATAATCCATCTGGAAGAAACTATGATTTAAAACAAAACAGTAATTCAAGGGAAAAAAACTCGACACTAAAATGGAAAACGATAACTAACAATAGATCTACTACAAAAGTCAATGAGATATCGATTAGTTAGGACCACAACGATAAAATACTCACTATAGCGAAAAGAACATAAGAAATAAGATGTCCTTTAGTGGAACTAGCCGTACTGAAATTGCAATAGAACTTCGACTACAGTAATATGAAAGTCCAAACAAGGAACCAGTAGTCACACGATGTATTGACCAAACACTAGATCTACTTAAAAACAATAAGATATCGATTTCCTGGAACCAGGACGATAAAATGTTCACAACAATGAAAAGAAATTAGGAAACAAGAGGTCCTTCAGTGAAGATGGACATACTGGAATCGTAACAGAACTTGGATTAGAGCAATACCAAAGTTCTAACACGGAACTAGTAGTCATAGAATGTACGGATCGGATATTCACCCACTTATAAGCACTATTAACTACTACTGCCTCGGAACTCCAGGGAACCAAATGGCTAAACCAGCAAAACTCCGAAAGAATGGAAGTTTTGCTGGGGCCCGCACAACTAGTGAAGACGGGCCATTTGCTGCCAGTAGTACTCAGTAGGCGCTGTGTGAGCCAGTCATATTTCGGAGGACATCGTTCAAGCGTTTCATGGAATTCTTGATGTAGATGAATTACCATCACACGTCTCTGCTATATAACATGGCGCTGGAAGGGCTATTGAGCCGAAAAGGTGAGCACGGGATTTCCAACCCACTAGTATGTCGGTGGCTTCTTTGAGGAAACCGAATGCCTAAGCCAACTGAGTAAGTATTAACTACAACAACATAACAAGTATAGAACAAGATGAAATCCATCGTTCTTTCACAGTTTCAATCAATAAATTATCTATTCGATCGCTCCAAAAACAAAAAGAACGGTAATGCTCCTAGTGGATAAATACTTTGTGCCACGAACATGCTAACGTCACTAAAGCTTTCTTAAGTGGCCTCTTTACACTACTAGGTGAATTTCACACAAACGAAACAACAATAACAATCTACTTCTCGAGGAGGGCGAAACCGCCGGAACGTCAGCCATCGACCAACAACAACAACAACAACAACAACAACAACAACAACAACAACAACAACAGCAACAACAAAGACAGGTTGGAAGGGGACGGCGGTGGTGGTATCGGCGAGCCTAGAAAAGGGAATCGGGTCTGGTGAGGTCGAGATCCCGTAAAAAAATTACACCACACTTCCACCATCACGCAAAATAATTGGTTAAAGAAGTGAGTTTTGTTTAATTATAAATGGAAACCACATCACTTTGAAACATGGGACCTTTTTTCAGTACTGGTCCGGCAGGAATGTAGTTGGTCATTGGCGGATATCTGAAGTACTGAAAAGTACTACATTTCTGGTAAGTCTTCACATTCTCCTTTGATGTAAATAAGTTCATGTAAGCAGAAATTGAACCGAAATAAGAATGAACTTAGCGATAAGTTCGAATTCGTTTTTGTTATTGACGGAGCCCAGGACAATACTTGTATGAACAGCCCAACAAGTGAGTTTACACAACATCACGGCGAAATGTACTCGAAGATAAACAATAAATCACAAAGAATAACAATAAACGGATCCTTTGGACGTCAGCGTTTCCTCTCTGCCGATCGCATAGATTCCGGTAACGCAGTTCTAATCAGACAATCCAGCTGTAGCCCAGGTTCATCTCACCAGCAGGATCTCCCAGGCTGAGAAGAAGCCTGGCACTTCCATCAGGAAGCTCAGCTATGATTAAACCAATATCAGGCTCTGGCACCGTTCTGGTATGCAACCAGTCGCATGGTGGCGAATCTCCCTCTGATTCACAAGGGCGGTTACTGCCTGTGGTGGTGACGACCTGGGCAAACTTTTGCTAGGGTAACTTCGGGTCTCCAGGGAACCATAATGGCTAAACCAGCAAAACTTCCGTGGAAATTATGCTGGGGCCTGCACAACCAGTGTGGACGGGCCATCCAAGTACCCCAAGTAATAAGCCACTCCACGTTCGGATATTTAGAAGCTAAAAATTTCTGCATTGATTTTGACATATTCGTTTTAGTACAACAATTGCTTCAAAAGAAACCCCGTTTCAGGATGTTTTATGGTGACTACAATAAATATTACTTCAGTACTACATGGCTTCAGTTAAGGTGATTCATTTGTTTTGGCACCAACTGCTTGAAAAAGATCGCTTATGATGCTAAGATATTAGCAAAACTCAAAACATGGACCGAAGGCTGTATTACCGCTAGGAAGAAAGACTAACTAAGAGAAAGGCAAACTTGAGCACTGGAAAAGGTAGTCGGAGGTTCGACTCTAGTCTGGAGTCCAAGTTTTGCAAATATCTCAGCATCGCAGTGGTTGTATTTCACATCATACACTTCCGTAAAAAATAATAATAGACAGTAAATAAAAAGTTGACAGATCACTTAGTTCATCGTATCTAGTACACGAACCTCTCTTCACAAAAAATGCTTTACCGAGAGCTTTGGGTCTTCCGAATTGAAAGTGAGTCCGACAGTTCCATCCGGGCTTAGCTAAGACTGAGTATATGCTGAGCAGTGTTTGGCGACCTACTCGTAGCTATCTGTTCAAGAATAGTAGAGACAACTTATAACACGAAAAGTGTGGTGCTCGGTGTGTTTTTAGAGTAAGCGCAAGTTACTAGATAGTCCCATGAGCGACAAGGACGGGTGGAGGCCTTAATAATTTCGGATCCGGTTACCCAATGATTAACAGAATTACAGGTGATTGAAAGGATAAAGGATAAAGTAGTTGTCGTTGATCAATCCCCGAGAGATGCGCCGTGCATTCACTTTCACCAGGCTTTGGTAGAGCGGGCTGAATACGCAACTAGCCCATGCAGTGATTGCAGTGGTCTACTGATGCATTGAATCAGTGTTGCTATCCTCCTAAACAGTTTTGGTACCAATTTGTCAACCCTGGAGGGAAGAAAGACTCGGTTATCGGGCCTGAGCTCGGACGAAAAACCATGTGTACATTGCAAGACACCTCGACCATTACGAAACATGCGCCCTCACGTATGGGCCTTCGTCAGCATACATCGAACTTAATCGACGTTTTAAAACACGCCTATAGAGAAGAAAACCATAAACATAGCCCCATTCCTGAAAACTACTTTGGTCTAGGTCCATATTTTCTTGAAAAGAATCACAGCAGCGCTTGGGTTCGACGATATGGTAAACAAAGGATTACTCTAAAAATAATGCACCAATTATAAGTTACCTAGTCGATGCACGGTGATTAAGAGTGGCAAAATGGCTGACTGGTTTTTGCAGGTATTTTAGTAGAGGAGTACATCCTCTCCAAACTGGTTGTGGACTCAAAATTGACGAATGATTCAGTTCGTCTATTTCGAAAATTATGCAGAAAAATGCTAAAATGTTATGTACTCCATTCACCAACACCACAACAGTTCCCAGACAAAACATCTACTTATGGGTACGATTAGAGATATTTAAAACGCTGTGCAGGGAATAAAACCATTATTCCTCAACCGGAAAAGGAAACTTTCGATTCCTTCAATATTCATTTGGTGTCATTAGTGGGCTTCAAGGGTATCCCTACAAAGTAGCTACATGTTTTTCGTGGCCTGCAATCCACCAAAGTATTGCCCTGAGTATAAAATTCCTTTCTGTCTTCGATTTCAACCTACTGTTTTTTATATCTCGCATGAGGAGTGTAGCTATGAGAACAACGAACACCCAAGATCGCTACTAGTGATTGTACAAAGAGAATGTGACCATGAAAGAAGTTCTTCCGACACTAACGTGTGGAAAAAAATTATGAAGTCTTTAAAATCGTGGGCGTCCGTGTCTAATGTAATGAAGTATACAAGTAGTACTTTGTTTGACTAGATTCGAGAACAAATTTTGATTTATGAGTTTTGTCATTTGATAGTTGCTGACAAAAGATGAAGAATGAAGAATGCGGTGCTGATCAATCCTTTACGGACACGGCATGCATTCCACCCCACTAAGCAATACACTTTTACCTGTACAGTGACTGTCTTGGCCAGTCGCTGGATTAAGCCAGTGATCTCATTCTCTCAATCAAGTCCGATATCAGCCTACCAATACCGGAATCATAGAGGGACTCCCAGGATACAGGGTTGAGCTGAAGATCGAGCATGCGCATCGCCGAACATCTCTTTAATTTAACCAGTGAGCTTTACGAAGATACAAATGTTAACTTACTAGTCTCATTTATAAATTACTACAATATAAAGTGCTCATGTCTTGGTCATAGTTCAACAACTGCATCTGCAAACCCAGAGTAAGAGCAAATCAACTTCAAGAATTGTTGCTGTCTTCGCAGGAACAATCGAGTCTCAAGGTGGAAAGCCTCCCTCCCTGTTATCAAGGGAAAGGAGACTGTCTGCGAAGACATGGGTGACGGCTGTACAGGTTCCTCGCGATTCCAGAAAACAAATCGTACGAAACCATTAACACGGTAGTTAAATGAAAACTCTGTTAGACGTTCACAGCTGTTAATGAGCTCAGCTAGTTCAAATAATAAGCACTAATTAATTCAACTGTCAACGACCTATGAGAATCAACAAAAACCCGGATTATTTCTCTCGAACTTCTGCCGCGCTTATGAATGTTTAATAGTGCTGAATTCGTTATGGGATGAAGGCCGCGTAGTCGAGAACGAAAACTGGTCTCACGATTTTGCAAGGCTTAACCGTGCAACATAACCCTTATTAATCCTCTTAAAAAACAAAAACGGAATTCGTCAAGAGTCTACGACCAAGTTAGTGGAATGAACTGGAATAATGCATTTGACTGTCATTACGAACAAAATCATAACTGGTGGTCGGCTTCTATTCGGAGCTATTATTTATTAAGTTACTATTTTCTTGATAAACAAAAGAGAGATTGTTACCACGATATATCTGAATTCCATACTGGGTCACGTCTACTTTCGCGTTCTTCAGAGCCTAGAAAGTCAAACTGATTCACAGTCTACTTAGCCGAATAGCCATAACCTAAATAGAAGAAACTTGAGACCTACACTTCAGAGACCCTATTCGCTTGGTCTCCATCAATAAATGAATGACTTGTAGCAAAAGGTGAATGCTTAATCTTATTTCAGTGCGACTGAGATACACCGTATTGCTTATACTAACTTGCCAACCGTCAAAGAATGGGAGACTTGCCAAGCCCCACGCCAGGTTGACCCTGCGCCTGAGTTGGATGGCCTTCCCCGTGATACATAAACGGCATCACCACCACTGCGCCACCCCACAAACTTTATTACTGCCGAGATTAATAGAAAGTCGATCATAGGAATTGCTATGATTTAATGTTACGATTAAAGGAAACAGTACATAATGGTAGCTAATGAATAACACAGAAATACAAAAGGAGACCATTGTTAACATTCAATGTATCAACATATCGTCACTATCCATTATTGATTAGTAGTCATTGTGATACAAAGTAAACAATGAAAACAAAAGCAGTCTCATGCAGGGATTCTGGCCGGGAAGACCTCACGACTCCATCACTGTTCAAGGGATAATGGCTTGAAGGTTA